TTTTGTAGCTTTAGTAGAGACGGGGTTTCACCATGTTGACCAGGATGGTCTCGATCTCTTGACCTCATGATCCACCCGCCTCGGCCTCCCAAAGTGCTGGGATTACAGGCTTGAGCCACCGCGCCCGGCAGGACCTATATATTTCTAAAACTAGAGCTACAGTCCCAAGCAATCTTGAAACCCTGATTGTAAGCAGAATGCCAAATGGGAAGGTCTGTGAAGTCTCCACATTTAGTAAAACTGAAGAGCATGTATATTTACATTAAAGGACACAGAGAGGCCTAACAAAATGTTAACAGCAAAATAATAAGATAGTAGATCTAAAAAAATTAGCTCCAAATCGTCTTACCTGATACTCGTTTTCTGCATTCTCTATGATTTTAATAAACTCCTTGGCAGTTTGGGCTTCATTCTAATGGAGGAAGGAAGAGGGTAAAATCAGATTTTTTAAAATGTGTAAGCAGTAAGATCCTGAAAAGTAACTCCATCTTAACTAACATTTGTGTAACAATTTCTAGTTTACCAAGTGTTTCCATGCCCACTACCTCCTTTGATTCTCACAACAACTCTATAGAAGAGAGTATGTTATAATCATAACCCCCATTTTGCAGATGAGAAAACAGAACCCTCTATTTTCTTGACCAGAATTACACAGTTTTTGAATGATAAAGATGGAATCTGAAATTAGGTCTTCACCAAAAAAAACCCATGCTCTTTCCACTCTACCACAGTATACCCAAAAGACATCATCAAGTCTTGAAAACTTGACGCCTTGAACATATTTCTGGTTTAAAATGATATGAACAATGAATGCCCTCAGACACATCAGTCATATACCATAAGCTAACATATGCCTTTATTTGCCACTTAAGACGTTAAACTAGCCAATCACATTTTGTATTACGTGGCTCAAGTATAAAATGAATCTCTCTCTTCCTGTTACCATTAAGTACAACAGATTTTTTTTTAAGTATTTTTTTTTTTTTTTTTAATAAGATGGGGTTTTACCATGTTCGTCAGGCTGGTCTTGAACTCCTGACCTCAGGTGACTTGCTGGCCTTGGCCTCCAAAGTGTTTGGATTACAGGCATGAGCCACCACGCCCAGCCAGATTTTTTTTTTTAAAGAGAAGAGGGTAGGATTTAATGTCTACAGCAGTGGTCCTAAGAGAGACTATGAGGTCAAAACTATTTTCTACTTTTTTTTGAGACAGAGTCTAGCTCTGTCTCACAGGCTGGAGTGCAGTGACATAATCTCGGCTCACTGCAATTCGCCTCCCCGACTCAAGCGATTCTCCTGCCTCAGCCTCCCAAGTAGCTGGGATTATAGGAGCCTGCGACCATGTGCAACTAACTTTTGAAATTTTAGTAGAAACAAGGTTTCACTGTGTTGGCCAGGCTGGTCTCAAACTCCTGACCTTGTGATCCACCTGCCTTGGCCTCCCAAAGTACTGAGATTACAAGTGTGAGCCACCACACCTGGCCTTTACTTTCACAATAACACTAAGACAAAGTTATTTGCCTGTTTTGCTCTCACTCTGTACAGCTAGTGCTCGACTTACGACCACGGTTGGGACCGCGGACCAGTCGTAACACAATTTGGTCGTAAGTTGAGTAGGCTAATATGTACAGTTGAAATGGTGCACGCAGAGATGGTAGTGCTGCCAGAAGCTGGTCCGCACTGTCGTACGCCCAGCTGGGCCTGGGCAACGTTTGCGCTGCCAGACGCCGAGCAGTTGTGGCTAGCGATTGTGGTCGTAAAGTCGAATGGTCGTAAGTTGCATAGGTCGTTAAGTCGATCAATACCTGTAATGTGTATATAACGTAATTTCCTAGAAACTACATGATGTATGGTGACTTTATCACTTTGAGGGCTAATGAAATGTATGAAGCAGAGGCCAGGTGCAATGGCTCACATCTGCAATCCCAGCACTTTGGGAGGCTGAAGCAGGTGAGATCAGGAGTTTGAGACCAGCCTGGCCAACACAGTGAAACCCTGTCTCTACTAAAAATACAAAAATTAGCCAGACGCTGGGCGCGGTGGCTCACGCCTGTAATCCGAGCACTTTGGGAGGCCGAGGCGGGTGGATCACAAGGTCAAGAGATCGAGACCATCCTGGTCAACAAGGTGAAACCCCGTATCTACTAAAA